AACCCTTCAAAAATATTGCCCATTACTATGCTCCCCCATAGAAAGTGTGCTGGCAACTCAAAAGCTTGAGGTTTGAATCTACCAACAGCTACTCAGGAGAAAGATGGGGAATCTTGTTTTGTGCAGTTTTCTATCCCTGAAAAACCCACTAGAGGGTCAGCTGTGAGTCAGTTCCAACTTGACTGTACATAACTATGTTTTTATTTCAGTTATGCATTGCTCTGTAGCTCACCTTTTGCCATATCTTCACAGAGTATCTCATGGCTTCCTTAGCTTTGCTTTGTGTGAGTACACCCCTTTTGCTAACATCTCTCTATTATAAGGTCCCTGGGTGGGACAGTTTGAGCTCAACTATTAACTGACAGCTGCAGAGCCATTGAAGAAAAGACTGGTCATCTACTTCTTTGAAGATCCCTTATGGAGCCATTCTATTCTGTAGCACACGAGTTGGAATTAACGCCTTAGCAACAGGTTTGGGGTAAAGGTTTTGTTGTTGTAGTGGTTGGTTTGGTGTTGGTTATTGATGGACACATGGGTTGTGTGCAGTCATCCACTGTTACAAACTGTAAACAACCTGTTAGGGGTCTCATTTGCATTCATGAACATATCTATAGAACAGATACCTAGGAATAGAATTTGGTATGCTGAGCAAATTATCCTGAAAAGCTGAACCCTATGAAGATAAGTGTGGCACCAGGATTGAAGGAAGAGTAACCAATGACCTGTGTTATACAGATGACAAAACCTTGCTTGCTGAAAATGAGGAGGACTTGAAGCATTTGTTGCAGAAGATCAAGGAATGCAGCCTTTGGTATGGATTGCATCTCAATGTCAAGAAGATAAAGATTCATACCATTGGACCGATAGGCAACATCATGATAGATGGAGAGGGGATTGAAACTTTCAATACCTTCATTTTGCTTGGATTCATGATTAGCATCCTTGGTACCAGCAGTCAGGAAATAAGGAGATGCATTGCACTGGGAAAATCTGCAGTTAGCGACCTCTCCAAATTATTGAGGAGTAGTAATGTCAGTTTGAGGACTAAGGTATGTTTGAGTTAGAGCATAGTGTTTCTGATCACTTGCTATGCATCTGAGAGCTGGACAATGAATAAAGATGACTAGGAAAGAATTGATGCCTTAGAGCTGTGGTGTTGGAGAAGAGCACTGAGCATCCCACAGACTGCTGAGACAACAAATAGATATATCTTGGAGAGGGTGCAGCTGGAGTGCTCTTTGGAGACAAGAATGATGAGTCTTCACTTCACATACTTTGGGCATGTTGCTAGGAAGGGCTATTCCTCACTGTGGAACACGATGCTGGGAAGGGTGGAGGGTTGGTGAAGGAGAAGAAGACCCTCAACCATGTGAACTGACATCGTGATTTCTGCAATGGACTCTTGTGTGTCCTGAAGTGTGAAGATGGCACAGGATAGAACAGGGTGCAGATCTTTTGTTTATAATGTTGCTAAGAGTCGTGCTCAACTTGATGTCACCTAACAACAACAACAACGCTTTTGTATGGGAGAAGGATGGGCAGTCTCCTCCCATGTGATTAAGTGCCTCTGAAACCCACTGGAGGTTCAGCTATGGGTTGGTTACGACTCTACGGTACACAACAACAATGCATTTGTAAAAAATTCTTGTGGCCTTATGACAAGGAACTGTGTGCGCTGTAACCCCAAAGTCCCAGATACACCAGCTGCTCTGCATGAGAAATATGAGCAATCTTCTCCCTTGTGATTAAACTGCCCCTGAAAATCCACTGGAGAGTCAACTGTGGGTTAGTTCTGACTCGACAGCACACAACAATAACAAATGCATTTGTAACTTTATTAGACATTTCTAGTTTCTGCCTTCTTCACTTAAATTATCGCTGCCCCCAGCAGTGCATGAGGGTGCCTGTTTTCCTGGCCTCATCAAAAGAATGTATTTCTAGATTTTGGAGTTTTGCCAGTCTGATAAGTCCAAAAATTTATCTTGGTATAACTTTAATCAGAACCTCTTTTTATGAGGTTGATCCATAGCTTAAAAGAAAAACATTCCTGTCTTATCAGCGTTCCTGCTCAGTGCTTTACCTTCCTTGTGCATTTGACCATGAGCTCTGTGGACACGGAGAATCCTGCTTGACTAAGGGGCAGAGAAAGGGCAGAACCTTCAACTCATTCTTCCTTCATCTTCTTGTTGTTGTTATATACTATCACGTTGGCATGGACCCACAGCTGACCCTTCAGCAGCGGCAGTAAATCTCTCAGGAGGAAACTGCCTATCCTTCTCCCAAGGAGCAGCTGGTAGACTTGAACCGCCAGCCTTCTTCAGATCGGCAGCGCAGCTCCTTACCACTAGGCCAGCAGAGCTCCTTTCTGCCCCTTATCCCTGGGAAATGCACCAGCTACATCCCAGCTGAACTATTTCAGTGATTTATACCCTCTGGTTTCAAAGCCAGAAATCTTTTTGTCTTTTTGGAAGTGTACTCACCTCTATTTTCTTTTTTGTTTCCTTTTTTAAAAAAAAATAATTTTAATGAAAGTTTACAGAGACTTAGGTTTCCAGTCATTCATTGTTGCACTTTTCTCCCTGCCCACCCCATCCCCCCAATTCACTCTTCTCCTTGTAAAGAAAGAAAAACTCTTTCATTATTATGCAATCCCCCCCCTCCCCACACACACACACACACACACAAGACCACTCCACTGTGCAGCCTTCACTCCGGACTTCTGTAATGACAAGAATACCCATTCATATATCCCTTTTAAACAGTCCTCTCCCTCATCTGTTTCAATGCAATATACATCATTCCTCCCCTCCTTCTCTGTCTTCCCTCAACCCTGATGTCAGTCCCATTTTACAACAGTGGCCCTATGCAATATTTGTCCTTTTGTGACTGAGATAGTATTTACAGGAGAAGAAAACTATGCATCTTTCACCCACAGAATAACTAGGGATTTGAACTACTGACCTTTCAGTTAGCAGGATAACATATTGTGCAGCATACCACTAGAATACCTTCAAGGGGAAAGAAAATGAAGAAGTGACTATAAGAAAGACAAATGGAGGCAGCGGTGAAGTCAGTATACCTGCTAAAGGCAGACCACCGACTTGACCAATAAAAAGTGAGAAGCAGGTTTCAAGACTGCCTGCATCTCTTCAGGGTCCTGTCAAAGCCTGGCTTTTTGGGGGACTGCAGTGAATCTTAAGGAGCCCTGGCGGAGCAGTAGTTAAAGCACTCGGGAACTAACTTAAAGGCCAGTGTTTCAAACCAACCAGCCATTCCTCACAAGGAAGGTAGGAAAAGGGCATTGATCAATAATAATCAATTATATAAAACACAATGTAGACATAAAATTACATAAAACACAGTGTGAGAGAGTGAAACAAAATGTATGTGAATGATTGTTCAAGACCAATTTAAAAAGAAGAAAAACCAAAGATGTGACATTCTGCTTCTGTCAAGATTAAGCCCTGTGGGGCCATCCTTTGGGGTCACTGTAAGTCAGAATCGATTCTGTGGCAATAGGTTTGGCTTGATTTTATAGTAAGTCATAAATTGTACATTGAGAGAAGTCATTCCTCCTTTCTTTCCCATCATGCTCCACATGACTTATGACTAGAGCAGCAGAGGCAGGAATGAGGATGAGGGGAAAGTGGGCCAGCTGATGAGAAAGGAGAACCAAGGAGGAGTTTGGGAGTGGAAAGAATCACACACTCAGAAAGTGCAGAGGTTGAAAGGCAGCTGCCTCCACATCCAGCCACAGAGTGCAGGTTACACAGTACAGACAACCATAGCCTTGAGGGCCGTTTATCAAACGTAGGAGTTATTAACAACTAATCACCCTAATGCTACTGAATTCAGACAGCGCCATGCAGCCTTCTTTCTCTAAGCCCTTGGCCCTTGGTTGGATTCCTTTCTGGCATCTTGACTTCTTTTTCTGGCCAAGTCATTCTAGGAGTTGATCTCTGTAAGGAAGTACAGATTGCTGTGGGTTTACATAGGAGTCTAAGTGGCGCGACCACTTAGTGATCAACTTTTTAAAAATTATTATTATAATTAATTTCCGTGAACATTTACAGAGATTTTGGCTTTCCATTCATTCATTGTTGCACTTTTCTCCCCACCTTCCCCCCCTCACCCCCAGTTCACTCTTCTCTTTGAAAAGTAAAAGAGAAAGTCCTTCATTGGTATACTATCCCCCCACTTTTAACCTCAGGGCTGAAAGTGTGAGCTTGTCCAGTGGTTTCATGGGAGAAAAGCCTGGTAAACTGCTTCAGGAGGATGACAGCCATGAAATCCTGTGGAGCAGTTCTACTCCATAGGCACAGAAGGTCGCCATAAATCAGGATCCCCTCAAAGGCAGCAGCTCTGGTTTTGTATTGGACTTGGGTCCTGATTGCCACATTATAAGTAAACATTCAGGTTCCGAGCAGAAGGACCCATAATTCCAAGGATGTTTAGGGAAACTGAAGACCATCATGTCTGTAGTGTATGACAACTTACTATACTTTGTATGTAAAATTGCTGTTAAAAAAAAATAATTGGCCATACCATGATTTTAGTTCTGGTACATAAAATTTGCTTCTAGTAGAGAGTTTGAGAAATAGTGCTAGTAAATGTTTTGGTTGAAAATTTACCAATAAACTGTGTCATATTGTCTGTCACTGAAAACCCATTGCCGTTGTGACCCATAGTGGCCCTACAGGACAGAGAACTACCCCATAGAGTTTCCAAGACAATCATTTTTATAGAAACAGAAAGACACATCTTTCTCCTGTTGAGAAGCTGGTGAGTTTGAACCAGTAACCTTCTCAACCTCTTTGTAGCAGCTGAATGTTTAGCCCCTGCATGACAGGTTTCTTTATGTTATCTGCATACACAGAAAAACACCGCCATTGCTGGTATCAAAACAGCTTGTTTGCTTCCTTTGACGCAGATAACGCTGTCCTCTGTAAACAAAGCAGACCAGCCCCTTTACTTACCAGCACTCTGTTTTGTCTCTCCAGGCCTCCTATAAACCACTGCTGAAGCAAGTCGTGGAGGAAATCTTTAATCCTGAGAGACCAGATCCTGCGGATATTGAGCACATGTCTTCGGGTCTCACTGATCTCCTTAAGACTGGAATTAGCATGTTCATGAAGGTAAAGTAACCTGCGGAGCTCATCCAGAGCTGAGCGTGAAAATGCTGATACTCCAGTAGCCCAGCAAGTGCAGGACAGAGAATGTCCAGTGTTTTGATGCTTATAGAGTCAAGGCTGCACAGGATAGAACAGGGTTCAGATCTTTTTTTGTTCATTGAGTCCTTATGAGTCTGTACTTGACTCAACAGCACCTAACAGCAACAAAATCAGGTCTAATCTTTCTTTCACTTTTGGTTATAAATAGTCTTTGTCAGCTTCCTGTCCATTTGTTCATTCATTCTTTCACTAGACTTCCACAGCGTCTTCTAATCTTAACTGCTATGTTCTTTTTTTATTAGTATATACAGTATAACATTGAGAACACAGCCTTCAGGATAGCACTAATGAAAACGTCTCTCTTCTTGTCCCATCTTTTCATTTAACATGGGCCCATATATGATTCATCCATGTTAGAGGCACCCTCCACTCTCGGTGGCTTAGCGGTAAGGAACTGCACTGCCAGTGCAAAGGTATACGGTTCAAATCCACAAGCTGCTCCATGAGAGAAATTTGGGCATTCTCCTCTTATGGAATTTAATGCCTCTGAAAACCCATTAGAGACTAAGCTATGGATCAGTTCTGACTCAGCAGTGCTCAACAACAACATTATGGAACATAATCAGTAAATGTAGAGTTGTATAATTAGCATCTTCCCAAGATCCAGTAGAAAATGAGTTTTATCTGGGCCCAGCTGGCCTTCTCCAAGGGCTAGAATTTCCTTGCTAATATCAAGCATGTGTCCAAATTACTAAACAGTCTTTGAAGCATGGATGAAAGGAGGGAAATATACACAAATGTGTCCTATTTTTAACCCACTGTACAGTTTCTAAATTTAAAAGGCTCAAACAAGATGACTCACTCATCTCTGCCAAGACATTTGGAAGTCAGCTACCTGGCCAACTGACTGAAAGAGATGCCTGTCTGTGCCCATTCCAAAGAGAGTTGATCTGGCAGAATGCTGAAAACATCAAATCATATAAATTACTATCATATGAAGACAATTTAAATGTGGTTGCAGCAGTACATTGACAAGGAGCTGCCAGAAATTCAAGCTGGATTCAGAACAGGATATGACATGAGGGATATCATTGCTGAGGTCAGATGCATCTTGGCTAAACTCAGAAAATACCAGAAAGATGTTTAATTGTGTTTTGTTGACATTGAAAAGTCATTAGGCCACATTGTTGTTGCTGTTGATTGTCTTTGAGTTGAGCGTGACTCATAGCGACCCTATGAACACAAGGCCTGAAGCCCCTCTACAACGATTGACATTTACCAAAGTTCATAGAGCTTCTGGAGGCATGTTCTTTAGGAAATGGATTAGGCCATGTAGATCACAATAAATTATGGATAAAATTGTGAAGATGGGAATTCCAGAATGCTCAATTGTGCCATGTGGAAACTGTACACAGATCGAGTGGCCCTTGTCTGAACAGAACAAGGGGATACTGCATGGTTTAAAATAGGAAAACTGAGCATCAAAATTGTATATAGTCACTATGCTTATTCACTCTGCATACTGAGCAAATAATCCAAGAAGCTGGATTATATGAAGAGCATGACGTGGTGGGAGAAAGACTCTACCAACTTGCAATTTACAGGTGACACAAGCTTACTGAAAGTAAAGATTTGAAACCCTTACTGATGAAGATTGAATGTCACAGCCTTTGGAATGGGATTATACCTGAACATAAAGCAAATAAAAATCCTCCCTTGTTTTTACTACATCCTTGGAACTCATGTGGAATCGTCCAATACAGACGAGTACATGAGCATGAGTGAGCTGGTGCTTACTTTGCTTATTGCGTCATCCTCCCCTGGTAAAGGTTGGAAGGGTGGCTGGTCATTCACACAGCAGAAAGTCAAGTCATTGCTTCCGCTTCTCAAGTCTACTACACTTAAGCCAACACTCTATTTCAGCAATTTCACATGGAATGGAATGCAGCGGCCTGATCATGAACTCCAGTGACCCTCAAAGTAGTCCCTGACCCTCTTTTCCAGCAGTGCTGAGCAAGGCCAACTGGTCATTGTTTCGTCCTTCTGTAACCCCAAGAGCAGGCTCCACTTGTTCCCATCTCCCCTCATCCCAGGCATCATTGTGCCTGGATGGGGACTGAAACACACCTTGGTTACAGAGAATCTCACACTCTTCTCTCCTTTCACACCCACAGAATAGAAATCTGTGTCTTCCAACTTCTTTGTCTCTCTGGAGAACAGAACAGGAGCAAGCAGGCTTGTTCTGTAGCGTGAGAAATGCGAGGAGGTAAAAGGGAAAATGTCCTCACAGAGTGGCTAGCCAGGGAGCTGAGGTTTGTTAGTCTCTTTCTTACTGTCTTCTAAGGGACCTTGTGAGCTTTGTAAAGTTATTCTTTTGAATCTCTCTGACAGTAATTCATAGAAGTTAGAAAATCTTGATTACAGAAGGGTATTTTGAGAACTATTTCCCAAGGAAATAATCCTCCCCAAAAGAAAAAAAATCTATGACAACATTTTTAAAATCTGAAATATAACCCCATGTCAAACAATTAAGGAATAGCTCAACTTATCATTTTATGTTGGCACTGACTGAATACCATGCATTTATTTAAAATGATCATCACTATAAGAAAATTACTATATTAATCAGCCTTCAAGGCAAAAGAACAGTCATTACCCAAGGACGAAGTTTAGAAGGAAGGCAGGAAGGGTTAGGAAAGAATGGAAAGGGGGAACACAGGGAGGAAGTGGGGAAAGTGCTGTTACATTGTAGAGCTTGTAATCAATGACTTGAAACAAAATGTGTATGAATTATTGAGTGGAAAACTTGCCTCTTATGTAAACCTTCATTTTAATACAAAATGTTCTTATATAGGGATCTCTGGCGGCCTAGTGGTGCTCTAGAGACTGTGCTGCTAGCCCAAAGGCCACATTTTCATGACAGTTTGAGTCCCCAATGGCTGTGCAGTAAAAAGATGCACAGTTTCCTCCTGTGTGATTTACAGCCTTGGAAACCCAATGGGTGGTCAGCTCTGAGCCAGTTCCTGTTTGACAGCAATAAATATTTGGTTTGTTTCTGTTTAGCATTTTTAGGGTTTAGGCCAAGAAGCAGGGAAATATTGTCTTGTTCAAAATCAGGAAGGGAGTGTGTCAAGGATGCATCCTGTCTCCATACCTTTTCAATCTATATGCAGAACAGATCATTCGAGAGGCCGGGCTTTATGACAAGGAATGTGGCATCAGGATTGGAGGGAGACTCATCAAGAACCTATGTTATGCACATGACACAATCTTGCTTGCTGAAACTGAGGAGGACCTGAAGCACTTGCTGTCGAATGTCAAGGACTGTAGTCCTCAATAGGGATTGAAACTCAACATCAAGAAGACAAAGATTCTCATCATAGCCAATGTCAGATGGATCTTGGCTGAAACCAGAGAGTATCAGAGGAATGTCTATTTGTGATCCATGGACTATGCAGAGGCATTTGACTGTGTGGATCACAGCAAATTGTGGCTAACCTTGAGAAGGATGGGAATCCCAGAACACCTGATTGTGCCCGTGCCAAACCTGTAGTCGGGAAGCAGTAGTCTGAACAGATTAAGGCAACAATGCATGATTCAAAATCAAGAAAACACTGCTTCAGGAATGCAAAGCAGATTATTCAGGAAGCTAAATTTTATGAGGAGGAATGTTGTATTAAGATTAGAGGAAGATTCATCTACAAACTGAGCTATGCAGACAACACAACTTTGCAAGCTGAAACTGAGGAGAATCTGAAGTGCTTGCTGCAGAATGTCAAGAATTGTAGTCTTTAGTATGGATTGAAACTCAACATCAAGAAGACAAAGATTCTCACCACTGGGCCAATTGGCAGCACCATGATAGATGGAGAAGAGATTGAGGTTATTAACAGTTACAGCTTGCTTGGCTCCACAATCAACATTCTTAACACCAGCAGTCAGGAAATCAAGAGACAAATTGTATTAGAAAAATCTGCTGTCAGGGAACTTTCCAGAATACTTAGAAGCAATGATGTCAGTCTAGAGACTAAGGTGTGCCTGATCCAAGCCTTGGTCTTCCCAGTTACATGCTATGCATCAGAGAACTGGATAATGACTAAGCATGTCAGAAGGAGAATTGATGCCTTTGAGGTGTGGTGCTAGAGAAAAGTCTGGAACATACCATGCACTGCCAAGAAAACAAATAGGTCTGTCCTGGAGAGAGTGAAAGCAAGTTTCTCCTTGGAGGCTAGGATTTTGAAGCTCCATCTTATATACTTTGGCCATGTGACCAGAAAAAATTGATCCTTGGAGAAGAACATTATGCTCGGGAGGGTGGAGAGACAGCATAGGCGAGGAAGACCCTGGATGAGATGACTGATACAGTAATGAGGACAATGGGGGAATATGTGTCAGAATCAGTGAGACTGGCTCAGGACAGAGAAGGCTTCAGAGCTATTGTACATGGGGTCGCAATGAGTAAGTAGCAAGTAACAGTCTGGATTTATAAAGTATAGATGACAATCCTTTTGGACAATCCCTTCCTCATACCATCCATTGCATGCTTCATTTTGCGGTCCTAATTGATTTCTAAAAAGTAGTAGAGACATCTAGTTCAGAGCACACATGGAGTTGGGTTGTCCAGATTAGAACCTGAGTTCCATGATTTAGGAGCTCTGTAACCTTGGGCATATCACTCATCTCTCTGTGCCTCAGTTCCTCATCAATAAAATGGGGATAATTTCAGGATTGTAGTCTTTAATATGGATTGAAGCGAAACATAAAAACAAAGATTTTCACTACTGGAACAATTGTCAAGCACCATGATAAATGGAGAAAAGGTTAAGGTTATTAACAATTACAGTTTGCTCAGTTCCACAATCAACACTCTTGGTACCATCAGTCAGGAAATTAAAAGGCAAGTTGCATTAGTGAAAACTGCTGTCATAGACCTTTCCGGAGTGTTAAAGAGCAACAGTGTCAGT